ATTCCAAAACCTCACCTCCTCACTTTCTAAGTAGTGAATGTAAATGTTTGTTGTTCTATGTATTCAATGTCCCAGTATTGAAAAAAGAATTCAATGCAGAATCTAATATGCATCACATCTCTAATAGAAAATTTATGTCAAGGAAAGTTAGGTATTTTGCTAGGAATCAGATAACTTAATTTTTAATCTTCCTTTTTTTTTTCCCTTTGTGACCTGGGCAATATAATTTGGCTCATGAGAATGCATTGATGGCCGCAGTTCAATGTGCATACAAATGGGAACACTTTTGTCTTCAATAAATTTCTCATATGAGAAAACACACACACATGCACACACACACGCATAAACGTATGAATGCATACACATACACACATACCTATAAGTGAATTTACGGCAATGTGCTCTAGACTCATGTCATATGGCTAGAGACGGTTTTTGAACTATATCTTTTTTTTATAAGGTTTTTTTTTAAATGTTTTATTTATTTATTCATGAGAGTCAGAGAGAGAGAGAGAGAGAGAAGCAGAGGGAGAAGCAGGCTCACCACAGAGCAGGGAGCCCGATGCGGGACTCGATCCCAGGACCCCGGGATCATGACCTGAGCCGAAGGCAGACGCTTAACCATCTGAGCCACCCAGGCGCCCTGAACTATATCTTTTTAAAAAGTCTTATTTTTGCAAGAAAGAAATGGATGAGTAAAGATACTGTACAAGGAGGCCCTATTATGAGCAAGGCGTTATAAGATAGAGAATGTGTGTGTGGGGTAAAGGAAGATTGGTATTTGAATGTGATTTGCATTTCAAATTTATCCTCTAAAATCACCGAAGGCCCTTAGGCAGAATGCCATGATCCTCTTTGTTCTTTGACAGCAGGGAGAAGGATGGAAGAGTGAAGAGATTGGAGGCATAACCATTGCTGGAGCTGAGTGATGCCGAGGAGTTGAGATGGGATACTGGTGGGAAGAACATATGAAGAGGAATGGAGGACAATAGAGGTAGGGTCCTCATGCTCATGAACGCTTGGTAGTATGGAAGCACAACTTCACTCACTGGAACAGTACAGTTCTTTTGCATCATCTGGAATTTTTTTTACCTGTATTGAGCACTTGCCATGTGCCAGGTATCATGTAATGCGTTTTACAGGCATTGGACCATTCCATAGTCACGTCCACTCAAAACTACATCATATCTTGTCTTGCAGTAGAGTGTGTGGGTGGGTAGAGTAGCTAATTCATCTTGTACCTTCTCATACCAGCAGTCTTTATTAGGAAGGCCTTACATGGCTATACTGGGAAGGCATTAAATGACTGTATGCAAATGAATGAATGAATAAACTTGTATTAAAAATTCTCAGAAGGTCTGGCAGTTTGGGGCAACAAACAATATGCTATGCAAACAAGATAAAAAAGAATTGAGTTTTATGATGTCTACGTGGATATTATGTAACTTCTTGGAGCTTCAATTACTCAAGGAAGTGGAAAATATGATGGCTATAGGCACAGAGAAGAAAAATCACTGGATTTCCAGTACGTTGCTGCCTAAGGTGTTGACCAGGGCAAAGTCTGGTTAAAGACCTCAGTGTGGAGCCCAAGAAAAAGCTGGAGATGGGGACTAAAGAGAAAGCCTATAGTCAAAGTCGAATTTTGCACAACACAATCAGGAACAAGATAAAAACTAGCCTTAAGATAAGGGATTCAAAAAAATAAAGCAGAAAATGATTTCAGGGATACCCCAAATACAGGCTGTATTGAACTAACAGTACATCCCTGCTGAAGTAACTCCGTCCATTTCTTAGGGAAATCCCTCAAGGAGGCAAAATCTGGGGACTAGAAATTGTATCTGTTTTTCCTTTAAGTCTCAAGATTTATTACACTGATCTGTGGTCTATGGGTAAGATGTAGCTTCCTGAATACCAAGAATGAGAGACCTGAAAACAATTATGTGTCATGAAGTTCCCAAAGGCCATCACAGGTAAAATGCTAGTTAGGCTTTCGGGAAAGATGAATGGGAACACCATGGCAAGATGTCAGCTGTAAGGTACAGTGAGACTTGAGACTGAAGCTATGATTATCCCAACTAAGGCGTTTTCTTCTCTTATGATAATAATAGCAGCTAATGTATATTGAGTGTTCCTTCTGTGCCAATTCTTTTCATGAATTAACTCTTTTAATTCTGGCAACAAAACTATGGAATGGACTCCTACAACCCCCTCGAATATAGGTCATATAATAGAGGACACTAGACTCCAAGTTTAAGTGACTTCTCAAACCCCATAGCTAGGAAGGGTGGAGTTGGGATTTGCATCAAGGCACTCTCTGGAGTCTTTGTACTTTTAGGGTTACCCTGACGAAAGCCAACAGTCTTCAATTCCCCAGGCAAGTGATTTCTTGTTTTTGAGACAAGCAACCTTTCCAACTAGGAGAGAAGGCTAGGAAGGGCATAGCAGGAAGAATCTTAAGCATATATAACTTTTATAGGGTTTTAGAATTAGTGCCCATTTTAAGTAGATGTTCTGCTTTCCATCCAATTGGAACTAAAGAGTTTCATAGTATTTCAAATTAGGCAATCCTTTGCAGATGCTTCAGAAATCTTTACAATATTCATTATGAACAATTGGATATATAAGACCCAGTCATCAAGTAATCATTATGAAGAGACATATTCTCAATTGACAAACATTCTAAAGTAAAGCAAAATAAAACAGCTTCCAATTATCCTATTTTCTTAATTGATCTTTGTTAATATGAATTGAGGTGTACAAGTGACATTTTAAATCATTTAGTATTATAGGAGTGCCTTTTAGGTGGACAACTCTATATGAATTTCATGCTTAAAAACCATTTTTTAATTCAAATTTCTTACAGCCACCCTAGGAAAGGAGTTATATTATCATCCCCCATTTTATGATAAAATTAAAAAAAAAACCACACACACACAGAAAAACTATGCAACTTAACCAATATCCCATAGCATGACAACCTTTAGAATAGCAAAATAATATACATGTGGTGATAACAATGGACCAATGATCTCTCCACATCAAACTCTAAAATTCTGAAAAATGTAGAACACGATTCTAAAGAATAGACGCACTTCTCAAAGTAAGACAAATATAATTATAGTCACATTGGACACATGATTAAAAAACTCACACTAATATTTTGAAACTACTTGATTTACTTTCTCATAACTAGTAACACACAACATTGTAGGCATGATTTATTTAAAATAACTTTGAGAAATAGTATTTTTGACTGAACAATAATAAAACTATTAAAAAGATAAATTGACTATGGGATAATTACCCAATGTTAATCCTTAAAAATAATTTTTATAAGCCAAGCTTGTGAATTTAAGATAGGCACATTATTAACAATTGTTACTATCAGAAATACATTTAAAATGTCCATGTGGTTGGTATACATAGAAAATTCATTGACTGAAATCAGCTGTCAAACCTGGCCTGGAACTTGGTTGGCTGTTTAGTTTAATTTTGTCTTATTGTTTCAAAATATAAATAGTTTGGCCTACTCTACATGTGTTAAAAACTGTAATCTTAAAATATGAAAAAGAAAGCAACAACTTCTCAAACACATAGATACGACTAGTCATTTCATCTAAAAAGTTATAAAATACTTATTCCTGGAGAACTTTCACGATCCCTGTACCTCAAAGCTTATTTCAAAACCCATCACTATTTCGCATTTAAAAACTATATCCTTGCACTGAAGATATGAACTGTAAACATGCTATTATATACTATCCACATTTCAATTTTAAATACCCTTTTGTTAACACAGAATGTTGCATCTAAGAAAAGCATGACTTATTTTTAGTTTCAACGGCAAAGTTAAAGTTCCTTTGTTGAGGAAATAATGAAGCAATGACCAAGATACTTGAAACAATAATGTCAACATTACACAGATTTCAAGAAAAACAGAATAATACACTTACATAAAACATAAACAGAATCACTCGCTTTAGAAGAGAAGAGAGATGGCTTTTTAAAATATTTAGATTCTCCAACCCAAGAAGAAATTTAAAAAATAAAGAGACGAGAAAGAGAGATAGTGAGAGATATATAGAGAGAGATATATAGAGACAGAGAGAGACCAAGGACCAAAACTCTGCAGAAGTAAAAATACATTCTTTTTTTTTAAAAAAGATTTTATTTATTTATTTGAGAGAAAGAGTGAGAGAGAGAGAAAGCACATGAGAGGGGGGAGGGTCAGAGGGAGAAGCAGACTCCCCGCCGAGCAGGGAGCCAGATGCAGGACTCGATCCCGGGACTCCAGGATCATGACCTGAGCTGAAAGCAGTCGCTTAACCAAGTGAGCCACCCAGGCGCCCATAAAAATACATTCTTAAAGCAGTTTTTAAACTTAAACTTCTCTGACAAAGTAGGTAACAGAAACGTAGATTCAGTGCAGGATTTTATATAGAATAAAACACAGAAATTAAACTCCACCAAAATGGAATTGTATTACCAGTCAATGCCTGGCTGGGACTCTCCCTTTGCATTAAAAAGAAAGTTAATGTTATAAGAATAAAACATTATCAAGAATGTAATATACACACTTTATAATGTTTAGGAGAACAGCAGTTTTCAAGCACCACACAAACAATTCATTAGGTAAGTGAAGATAATGTTAAAGCGAGTTCTCCACAATTTTCTATCAGGTTATACTTTAAGTAGTGTAGGACACACACTTGAATTCATTACATGTTATTGCACTATAAAATTGGCTATTGTCATTATACCCAAATGTAAACAATAATGTAGACTTCCTTAATTTTTCTATCTGTAGGTCTCTTTGGGTGGAAGACAACTGATTAATAACTATGTAAAACCTGGGAAATTTGTATACACATATACAGCATTTTTCTGTAAAAACGCATTTGGCTAAAGAGATCCAATGGAAATAAGGAGGGGAAAACCCGAAACATAGCATCTTCTGTTTTTCAAAAATCCTGGCTTGTAATGAAAAAAGCACGGGTGGGAGGGAGATAAAGCCACTGGCTTTTGTAGACTTATTAGAATACACTCATCTCTTCATGCATGCTTCTGCTAGTGTCCTGAATTTGGGTTCCAAATGATCCAAAAATTCAAGCCCATCTTCTTCAAGTCGTTCACTGCAACAACCTATAGAACCAGCCACCGATCCTTTGCCTTCGTAGTTATACGTAAGGACATAGTCTTGAGCATGCTTATGCTTGTCATCCTGATTACACAGTTGCACCTTCTGCCAGGGGAGAAACACAATATATTTTATTATTATTATTTTAAACACCAAAACTTACTAACATAAAAATAATTGCTTTGATTTACCTTTCATTGTTTAATTTTTAATCAGAGTGTGTCCTCTAATGGATTCCTACACATAAAAAATGCACATGATTGGTCTGTATCATAAATCATCTATAAATTCACTCTACAGCATGTTTCTAAAATCTCACATATGTGGCGGCAAACCCAAGTACATGAGGGTTCATGTTAGGTAATCACTAGTTTCCCTTTCAAAATCATGTCTAAAGTGAGATGCACCCATTAAACTGAGCCCAAATTGATGTGGGCTGAGATCTTTCCAGATAGGCTTAGTGACCATAAGGCTATAATTGCCTCGTACCACGCTTCTGGTTTCTAAGATTCGATTTGTCACATGGGAAATATTCACACAAAGTCATGGAAAAAAAAATAATTTAAATATCATCACACAGATAACTTCTATATTTTAAAAACAAAACACATAAACTGGGACTGTTCTTATACAGAATAAGACATTTCATGTCCAATAAATAAATAAATATCATCTAACATTGTTTCCGTAAGAATTAAAACCAAACAAAAGTAAATGTCCTCTTAATATCTGAGCATTACTAAATCAAAATTAAGGAACAACAACTTTACAATTAATAGATTAATCATTACTGAAAACAAGGGTCAAGCCACTAAATTTGAAATAATTGAGAAAGTTGAAAAGAAATCAAAATAAATTTGTAGGACCCTCAGGGAAACTCACTTCACCAAGATGGGTTTGAGTCAAATTATGCCACTCGGAGTAGGTGTATCTGCAGTTGTCCACCTCCACAGGTCCTCCCCTGCAGGAATCCAGGGTGTGATGGTGCCCAGTCCCCCGGCACGGTTCCAGGGTCTGGTGTCCGCTTTTCGCCATCTCAATGGTTTCCTGCCCTCCATTTTTCACTCCTGATCCCAGGGTGCCACAAATTCCCTGAGCCGAACTGCCCACAGTATGCGTTGTGAAGCCATTCGTGGGGCACTGAAATGCAAACAATTTGCATACAGAGGCAAACAACAACAACAACAACATGCAGATAATGCCATACATTTTTGTGTTAGAAAGTAAGCTCCCTAAGGGCAAGAACTAAATCTGTTTTAGCAATCCTGAATACCCGACTTTTGTAACCCCAGAACTTCATGCAGCGTCCAATGCATCTGCAAACTGCAGATGTCAAGCGGTCTATACCTTGAGACAAATCAGAAAGCTGAATGTATATTCCTTCTTAAAAAACTTCTTAGAACACTGTACAATGTCATCTGTTAAATTCTTCCAAAATCTCAAGGCTCAAAATCAGGATTCTGGTATCAACATCTCACATGAATTTACCCTGCTTGGTTTAAATTTACTCCCTTCACCTAGAAGGACTGGACTAGACTAGAACAGAAACAGAAACGGGGACCGGTATTTTTATTCAGTGTCTCCTGTTGTTCCCTTCAACTAAAACAAAAATATAGAAAAAAGAGTTGCCATAAAAATCTTAGCTGCAATAATAAATCCCTGTGATCTCAATAAAGAAAAATAAATCAGCAGGGCAAATAAGAACACCAAAGCTCTGGTCACTGATTTTCTATGCTGTGTTTCTGTAAGAAACCCTGTTTTATTTTTTTCAATACCTTCCTAGATGTCAATACACTTTTGTTTTCTAAATCTTTCCTGTTCATCATCATTATGCTTTTTGTAGAAAATTTACATGTTCCTCATCCACGTACTAGGCTAGAAATCAAAGCTGGAGTTCTGTAGTCACTTGCTAACATTGCCGTTTCATATATTTGACCGCAGGCTTCTTGCTAACCCATATTAGAACCAGAAAGCCTCCATTAAAGTTCTTCCCACACTGATCAAAGCTTGTAGTCATTTTATTGCTGTTGCCAGGAAAAAAAATTAAAAATAATTATGCTGACGATCTGTGAATAATTAAATGAAATATTTTTACAGCACAAACAGCAGTTTCAATATATAAAAAAGTCTGGGCCTGAAGTTGAAGTCATGAAACATTTTAAGTAGAAATAATAATGAGATGCTAAAGGATTTTTACGATTAAGTAACACTACATGACCACATTGAAAGGCCACATATCACCATGAGAATCAACATTGTTCTATCTAGTCCAGAGGACCAATGAAATTTTTTATATTGTCAGTTTCCTGATTTCAAAAGAACTTTTCTCAGAAAAGATAATTATAGTTGGTTAGGCCAATTTGTCCTTTGCATTTATTTTTAAAAAGAACAAACTACTTACTATTTTGTCATCTCCTGGAGCTTCTGTGTTTGACACAATGAGGTTCTGCTGGGCTAAATCATCAGGAAATACTTTGGGCTGCTTCGCTGCCCCAGTACCCCCACAGACTAAGGTAAATAGGATACCTGGAGGATGGGAGAAGTTACTTCAGTTGATCATAAAACAATGTAGAGTTATGAATTTAGGATGATTAATACAAAGACAGCTTTCCAGAAAACATCAATATGATGGCTTATGGAGAAAGTCTGCCCTAACCAGGTATGCCACGAAGACGTGCTAAATGCTGTTTCTGCGCTGAATTTTATATCTATGCTGAGATAACACGAGAACAGTGCTTTCAACATATAAGTTCAGTGTGTTGTGTTAAGCAGACCTAGAACTATACACAAATGAACAGCTACACATAGCAGTGCCGATTCTAAGAATGTGTCTTGAAAGTTATCGCGAAGGCGGTTATTCGAGTTGGTGAAGGGACTTACAAAAGAGCAAGGCTATGCCCAGCAATATTGCAAGGATGGCCCATTTTCCAAGTCTCACTTCTCCTTGGCCGGTCCTCGCATCTGTGCGAAGCGCGCAGTCGTTTTCAGTAACACAGTCACATAAGATAACGTTCAATGGAGTGATGAGCGACAGGCCATGTCTATCTGTGATTCTGACAGGTACTCGGTATGTTCCAAATGGAAGGTCCTCCTGAAAGAAAAGACGAGCTGCCGTATCTGAAAGAAAATAAAACTGAGTGATAGAGAATGTCACTAATTTCTCCTAGAGTTAGGATATTCGCCATATTTCCTGACAAACGGATCTTCCTGATGGGAAGGCACCACTGCTACAGGACTGAGAATGTGAACGGACTGACGAGTTCTCATCTACAGCAACGGTAAACATCCTGCATATGCAAGTTTCTCTCTGCTGCCTCTCACGTAAACTTCCTTCGGCTCTCGTAATAATAATAATAAACAAACCCTTCTTATCGTAAGTAATAGGCATGCTAAGACATTGGTCTTTATCATATCTCTGAAAATTTTTAGTATCACCACTCAGTGCAGTTTTCTTTTATACATGGCTCATCAGAATCTGAAATTCTGGATGTTTCCCCTTGCTCTGTTTTCATGTATTGTGCCAAACAAACATAAACAGTTGTGACTCACTGTCAGAGACTGATTCTGACAGCTTAGAACATGGCTGACCTTGAACATAGTGGCAGGCGTTGAGTTGTCCCGATGCTGTACTGTCTCATAGTCCTATAGGACCCTGGGACCAACTGTATACTTTTTAGTTTTGAGGTACTTTTTTAGGTAAAGGGTAGAAAATATCCAGGTCAATATCCAGTTCAGTGTCGGGTACAGATCCAAAGACAGAATACTATTCTGAATATAAATGCCACATGCCCATGCCTAAGAATAATCCCTCCCCATTTAACTGGCCCAGGGTGACAGTCCCATTTATTTTTAGGGTGTTTGAAGCTCTAAATATAAATTTGGGTGTTTGGGTAAAGAAATCAGTGAAGAAGTCCATTTTAAAAGAAAGCATGGTTAACTTGGTAAGTTTATGTGTAAAAAATAAGAAGAAGACTAGCAGAACCAAAATTTATGATGCATAATGTGCCATGGTCTGATACATTCATTATCTTGTTTACTCCCCCAAATAATCCCATTTTACATATGAGTAAATTAAGGCCCAAAGAAAATAAACAGCATGGTCATATTTATATCACTAATAAACAGGGGAGCTGGCATTTAATACAGCCTATTTGACTTCAAAGACTATTTGGGATACGTTCTTCTTAATTTGGTGTTTCCCAGACTTTTGGGTTATTTCACAGGTGAGCAGAACTTTAAAGTAACAAACTTTTTTTTTTTTTAAAGATTTTATCTATCTATTTGAGAGAGAGAATGAGATAGATAGAGAGAGCATGAGAGGGGGGAGTCAGAGGGAGAAGCCGACTCCCCACTGAGCGGGAAGCCCGATGCGGGGCTCAATCCCGGGACTCCAGGATCATGACCTGAGACGAAGGCAGTCGCTTAACCAACTGAGCCACCCAGGCGCCCTAAAGTAACAAAGTCTCGACCGCACATAATCCTGCCGATGTTTTACTCTACGAAGCAGAAGCAGGAATATTAAACAAAATTACTACCTCCTTTCACACGATCTAAAAAGAACTGATGTTATGGCACCAAATCAGCAGAAAGGAGAAAATCTAAAAATAAGGTTAGTTCCCTGAAAATGCTGTCAGCCCACAGAGCAGGATTCGGGACACAGGGTCTAAACACGTCACCGTCTCTTCTGTGTATCCTCATTTTCCTTCTCCCTTCCTGTTCTCCTTCCCTGGGCTTTGTTTCCTAATCTGTCATCAGAGAAAATGGAGGAACATTCATTGGAAGCATGCGGTAGAAATTCACACTCAAGGACACCTTAAAGGCAAACCCCCTCAGCGTATAGCGGGTGGTGAGTCGTGAAGGCTGGCGTGCTGGGTGCCCAGGGCTTCAGGAGCCACAGGATGCACTGAACTGTTAAGAGCTGACGTAGGGAGCGATGAAGCTGGCATGGAGAGAGCGCCTTCGTTTTTGTCATTCTCGTCAACATAGATCCTCTCGTGGCTAAAGTCAGAAGCACAAACTAAGAACTAAGTTGGTATCAACTTAGTATTCACGTACCGTTAATTTTTACCAATCTCCACTTTCTTTCTAAGTCTGAATCAGGATCACTCTCCAAACTGAAGTCAAAGGGCGGGCCATTCGTAGGCCCATCAGGATCAACAGCAACAATATCCGCAGATGACAGGACAGTTTTGCAGATTACTACTGTCCGCTTTAGTATTACTGGGCCATTATCGTTCTCATCTTCAAGTGTAATTCCCAGGGTCCCGGTACATGTTCTCCCGTCTAGAAAAGTGGATGAAAAAAACAGAATTTTTTCATGTTCTGAGTTTTCACTAGGAAACTGTACATCAAAAAGACAGTTTTAAATATGGATGTGGCACCAGTAACATATAAATGGCGGTGACACAGTCGCAGGCTATGCCCTTAAAGAATGTTTTTTAAAAAAATGATCACAGGGGCGCCTGGGTGGCTCAGTCGTTAAGCATCTGCCTTCGGCTCAGGCCATGATCCCGAGGTCCTGGGATCGAGCCCCGCATCGGGCTCCCTGCTCCGCGGGAAACCTGCTTTCTCCCTCTCCCACTCCCTCTGCTTGTGTTCCCTCTCTCTGTCAAATAAATAAATAAAATTTAAAAAAAATAAAAAATAAAAAAATGATCACTTTCAAATAGGTTGTGCTATTTGAAATAACTGCTATTCGATTTGTCATTCATTCACTAAATAGCTGCAACAGACGTGGAAACGTGGAAACTTTCACGGAGGTTAGTTTTGACTCATCTTTTGAAAGGAGAAAATATGACCAAGGGCACTGTGGTATAGTTGCAAGCACAAGGAGATTTGAGAAGGTGGGAGAGCAAAGTATGCACATCCATGTTCCGGACATAAGGAGGGGGATGGGCAGATTGGCTGGAATCGATACCACAGAGAAGAGCTAAGAGTCCAACCTAAGGATATGCATATAGAAAGTGCGTAAGGTTTTGGAGCAGGGGCAACGAAAGGTAGAAGATATGGATTTGGAAGATGAGAAGAAAACAGTACATAGAAACGTTTGAAGGGGAAAAAGGTTCCAGAAGTAGAAAATCACTTGTAAACCAAACTCATCACAGTGGCTGCAGCCTGAGGAATGCATCTGTCTCTATACTTAATAAAAACTTACTGAGTAAACTACTCTGTACAGGGCACCGTACTGGAAAATCTAGGGGCTTCAAAGATGAAGTGGATGTGGGTCCAGGCCACAAATCAGTAACACGGCTGTGAAGTCTGAAGGTGTCTAGATCACTTCTTTCTGCTTACCTAGGAGGCCTTGGGACATCAAGGCTGGACAAGAAGACAGTGCTGTCTGGGGCTGTGTCTTACATGAAGCTGCCAACCTGGGAAAGCTGGAAGACCGGGCACTGCCCTGCCGTCACAACCTCGACCAAGGCAACAGGACTTGCGATACCTGCAGTGTCATCAAGGGCTAGGACACCTGGCTCTGAAATGTGGGCCCCGGAAAAGGACAAGATGGAGGCAACTATGAGACTGCTACGGGCTAAAGTGGGAGAGAGGAAGAAACCAAAAACAGAAAGCAAACCAAACGCCTCCGACGTAATATAAGCTTGCAAATCAAAATTCCAGAAGGAGCAAGAGCAATGCTGCAAGGAAAGCTAACAAAATCACCCACCAGAAGATTAATTTCACTCTATGCAAGACATCTTTGAAGCATGTATATTTAGTATCTCCAAAGACATCAAAAAGGGTAACTGTTGAAAGAACAATGAAATTATAGCTTAAGTTCCAGTGGAAACAAAACAGCAGCATTCCTCTAATAGGGACTCTAGAAGAAGAGAATAAATAGAATGGCAGGGAAGCGCTATTTAAAGAGATAATTGCTGAGAATATCCCAGAATTAAAGAGAAGCATGGATCTTTCTTTTTTAAATATATTGTGAAGGCAGTGCTACATAAATAAAAATAAACTCACACCATGAACATTGTATTAAAACTACAGAATGCAACCTAGGGAGCCAAAAAAGTTACCTAGACATATTACCTATGAATGGACAATAATGAGATTGACAGTAGATGAACCTCAGCAACATGAGACACCAGAAGATAATGGAGTACGACCTGCACGGTGCTGAGGGAAAGGACTTAACTCAAAACTTTACATTAAGTCAAATGATCAGATCAAGCAGGAGAATGACATTAAAATATTTTTCAGAATAAAATGGGTAGGGTTTGTCACCTAGAGCACACCACTGGGAGAACTAGTAAAGGATGTACACCAGCAAGAAGAAAAGGGAACCAGGAGAGAAGGAATGAGATGTAAGAACCAAGGCAATGATCTCTCCCTTTGGACAACTTAAAAAAAAGAGAGAGGAGAGGGAGCCAAAGGAAGCAGGGGGATCTGTATTTTATCTGCCTGGCATACTTTTTGGAGGGCAGAATGATTTCACGTCTCAAAATCTCTTGTCCTCACCCTATGTGCTGTGTCCTGGCTCTCTCTGAAAACTGGGATTGCAGAATATCTTGAACATTTCTTGCCACTGGAGTCCACACAGAGTTGAAAGCACGTGGCTTACTGGCTGAATCTGATTGATTGCCTTGTCTTTAAAAATTGACCTCTACAATGTCTGCTCTTTTACCACTGTGCTAAATGCCTGAACTTCCCTTCCATTCACCTTTAGAGTTGTGCAATTCACTCCATTTTTGGAGGCATTGTGATTCGTATCGGTGTACAGTATTTAAACCGAAGATCTTAGACATCTAATTCAGTGTTTCATGGCTATATAAATAATACTCTAATTCATTGGAGTGTATGCGTGCAATGCTCACCTTCTAATATTAACGCAATTCTATGTGAGTTAAGTACTAATTCCAAATATGAAGTCACGGAAAGTGAACTACCCATGGTTTTGTGATTTTTTTCTGCGTGGCACCCTCCTGATCAATGTTTCAAAAATTTTGAGAACACACTCCTCCCCAAAGCTGGAATAATACAACAAACATAGAAACCTAAAGCTGAATGACACTGCCAAGAGAGTTTAATTTGAGAAGACATTGAGAAGAAGAGAGAAATTGAACCCAAGTTTGAAGAAATAGCTAGGTTCAGGAGAGCAGAAGGTAGTACCAGAAAGCATATGGACCACAGAGGAAAGCATGGAAAAATTTACACACAGAAGCCTTGCAAGAGTTTTAGAAAGAGAAAGCCAGTGCTGTAGAGAAGCAGGGAGATGGGAAGAGAGAATGGACCTGAGGTCACTGCTCACAAGACAGCATCTTTCATTAGGAAGCAGCTGGGAGGGTCCAAATGAAATTAGCCAGCATTGATTTTAGGAAAAGATAAAAACAAAACAAGGAAAAAAAAAACCCTTTTGTATGATCTCAGTTCATAAAATAAATAGTTGTAACATTTAGTCCCTACCCTCTTCAACAGAAATGAATGGAAAAGTCCCCATGACACTTTTATTCTATTCCACAATGATGATTAGCTCATCTAAACTCCATACAAATATTTGAACTCTCCATTATTTTATCTCCTCTCAACAAAGGATAATGTAGAATAAAATTATATCCCAAATCTCTTAATTCTGGACAACAAATTTATTTGATCCATCAACAAGCCATTTGCCAAGGGCTGTTTGAAATGTAAAAAGAACAGATTTGATTTTCATGTTATTCTTCTTTTTCACTTGCCTTTGACCAAAAAGCATGTCCTGACAAAGGGACAAAGGAAACTGAGGCCTTTAAAGGACATTCTTTAATTAATCCAAGTTAAATTAATAATAACTACAACCTTACCGATTCAATCAATGGGTAGGAACCATTTCTCATTCATTTAGAGAGAACTGAAACACCTAAAACATCTTCCAAGATTGCTTCTAAACTCTAATGTTGTAAACTATAGTGTAATAACTTATGTTTGCTGTAGTTAGCATATTTAGTTTATGGATGCACAAACGTCAAATGTACGTTATGCACTAAATGGATCTCATACATAACCATTGTGCTCATATTCCTCTCCATTTTGTAGGACTCACAGAACATTTTACATTTCATATGGTTTTATGGATTCAGTGGTTGTCTTTCTAATTTTATAACATACCATTAATCATGACTATGATTATTTTTATATAATGTCCTTAATTAGAATTCTAATCCCCAAGTATACTGAGAGTTTCCTGTAAAAAGATAGAACAGTTTTGTAGGAATGCACTATGGAGTAATCAATATGTTCTTCATGCAATGAATTTTCCTGCCAAAGCAAATACTTTAAAAGAAATGACTAGATAAATTGAAGCTAATTTTACTAAAATAACTTTCTCAATTTTCAGTGCTTGTTTACTTTTAATAAATTATGGTTTCCAGTATTTCTATTACTAAATTATTTTATAATTAAGAAAACTGAGGGTGTTATTAGAAAGCAGCCATGAGTTAATAAATTACAGCAAACCTTTCAATTGCTCTATGTCTTCTGGAGAGAAATACATTTTGAGAATATATGCAGCTGATTTCAAATCGATGTTGGTGGTTTACAAACTGAGGATGTAAGTAGGCGGAAATTGATGGACTTAAACACAAAGTTCTTACCTTTGTCTGACGCAAGAATTGTGATATTATATATACCATCTCTGATGCTCTCTGCCTCTCTATCCAGGTTTCTGAAAATTGTGATTGATCCTTCGTTTTCATCAATTGTGACCCACCCTTTCGGATCAGTTAATTTCTTATACCTGTTAGTAATGATGAATGAAAATACAAACTGTATCATAGGCCAAATTACAATTCTGGCATCAAAACAAGTTATGAATTTTATTTTTTTTAAGATTTTATTTATTTATTTGACAGAGAGAGAGAGAGACAGCGAGAGAGGGAACACAAGCAGGGGGAGTGGGAGAGGGAGAAGCACGCCTCCCGCTGAGCAAGGACCCCCCCCCCCACCGCCACCCACCCTCCCCGCCCAATGCGGGGCTCAATCCCAGGACTCTGGGATCATGACCCGAGCCGAAGACAGTCGCTCAACCGACTGAGCCCCCAGGTGCCCCAACAAGTTATGAATTTTAAAAACATGGTAAATTTGGAGTTAACTAAAACAGGATACCTTATGCCACTGCTACTTCTTGTTTCAGGGTCATATGCTTTGTATCCATTGCTCTTTGTTCCCACTGGCACATTTTCTTTAATTTGAACGGTTTGCACTGCAGGGCTACACTCGGGGCCCTCATCCTGATTTTTTACATTTACGGTAACTGTTGCTGTGCTCATGACTGATTGTGAACTAGCCTCTTTAGAATACGGAGCTTCATTAACTACGCCAATCTGTAGGTTCACCTGTTGTCTTTCTTCATAATTCAGTGGCTACAAAACACAAGTGTCGTGAAAATCAGATCAAGACATTTAGGATGTGGCCATGCTAACTGGCATACATAACTAGTGTTGAGAATAGTCAGGAGAATATTAAATATATACCCAGAAACCAGGTGGTGGTTGGAGGAGGGGAATCCACCTGATTCAGTATTTGGGTGGAACCAGAAAAGCAAAACAAAACAAAACAAAGACTGTTTCTCAACTGTCAGTAATATCAAGAGGTCCTGATAATGAATTCAAAAAGCATTTAATGCAGGTGTTTCAAGGTTAACACTTGAGAAATTACTTTAGGACCTCCATACCCTAATCAATGGTTATTTACTACTCCATTCATTTTGGTTCAGCTTATCCTATCCTTCTGAAATGAATAAAATTATCTGTACCTGGTTTGGGGTAGAAAATGTGGGTCAAATTTTATAAAATGCTTCTGAGAGAGGACAGAGAAGAAAATAGAAAGCTCATGGACATTACATTTTCCTTTTTTAGCTCTTCCATCCCAGTTACTTTTTAAAGAACCAGTAGTACCAAATTTAATGGAAGGTTTTTATTTTATCTTGCCTGATATGTAGCTGTAATGAGAATAGGTAAAGCCATTTCCTGCAAGACAGAAATTCTGTCAGGTCTTGGACTTCATGGAGATAAAATTGCTTCTTAGAATACCAAGGATTAGGGCAGGGGTTGGATGAGGCAAGAGATATGATTCAAAAGACATTTCTCTGCTATTTTGAAACATAGAAATTAACCCACAAACTGCACTTAATTTTCATCATTGTAAGAAAAAGGATTTGTCATTTTTCATTCATGCTCTTTGTGAATATGTACAAGAGGGAAACTACATGGACCCAGGATAGAATCATGTTCTAGTTAAAGATACAGCAGAAATAAGACTATGACTGTGTCCAAAGCAGGTAGCTTTATGGGCTACCAGTTGGCTGCTGAATTGGCAGGGAAGTCTGGGATGTTGCAGAATAGTATTAGAAGGAGGTTTCACAAGTATTTGCATCTTTGAATGGTTGAGGATTCCCATTCTCAACCAAGAAGGAAGCTAAGGTTGTAATGTATGCTAGATATAGATGAACAAATCTACAAATGCTGTCCCTATGGGTCTCACCAGGAATAACTCACCATTTGGGAAATTCAGGAAATAAGTGAAGGCTCCCTGATTCAGCTACAGAAAGAATGGGCTAGGAAAGTTTGGCACTGTCCCATAGGCATCAAAGCTGTGCCAGTTTTTTAATTGTTAAGACATATTGGTTACAAAGTGGATACTATTGAACACACACACACACATACAATATTATTTTAAATACCATGACTTTATAAAAGGTTCTCCAATTTGAATATACTCATCCTGTTACAGTTATGGAGAACACAGCATTTATATTTACCGATGTATCTATTTTATTCTTATATTTACCAGAATTCCCTTCTTTTCATTAAGTTCTAGTATGCTAATTTATGATATTATAAGCTACAAATAACTAATTTACTCTTACCTTAACCACACACAGAACTCCTTCATTGGTTTTGGGGTCTGTTACTATTTTAAAATTCCCATTTTCATTGCCTTTTAAAATGGTATAATTAGCTCTCCAATTCACAGTATTCATTAAATCCTTATCCTCAACAGTAACACGTAAGATTTCTACATCAACTGTATTTTCTTCCACTGATGTCACATACTAAAATAATAAAAACAAAAAAGCCTTAATTAGTAACTGTCACAAATAGAGCACTGTGGGAAATAAACTCAGTTCTTTTCATTTCCAAGGACTATGTTTACATGATTTCAAACCCTAAGTCCAATTTACTGTCATGTGACTGGGGACACTGCATTTGAAATAACGGGACAGGCATGGATGGAGTTATGCATGTTTAGCAATTAACACCGGGTCCTACATTTTTCTTTTATTACTATCATGTACTTACAGAAGTACGGGTAAATGTTGGTAAGTTGTCATTTACATCTCCAATATTAATGATGCAAGTTGAAGTTGTCTGCAAACCGAAATATTGACCATCCATGTCTTGTACTTTTATTTTCAACTGGTATTTATCAATTAGCTGAAAAGAAAGAATTTAATTATTGAGTGAAAGCAACATTGTAACTGAAATCTTATTTTACACTCTAATTTTTCTTACATTAAAAATTTAAGAAGTACACTATTAAATTTCATAGCTTTCATGTACTGGCAAAAGACTAATCTCCTCACAGTAGTAATTTTCTATTAATTTATGAAAAGAGTAGTTTCTCAAATTTAAAGTGCTGCTCTATATAGAATATAGAAAAATTGGTTTTAGTTTTACTCACCAGAAAGGGAAGGGGTAGCCATAGGACATTTTAAATTGCCTAGCAGTTAATCAAAATCTTTATCTCCTATCCAAAGTACATTCTTAGGCTGAAAAATATACAGCAGTTACTCTTACACCAGTCTTGAATAATAAAGTAAAATAGCCTCCCATAAAAAAGGCAGATTTTTAAATATTTACATTTATAAAAAGATCTGGAACTGTAATTTTTTTTTCTCTCTATGGAAAATGTAATCTGGTTCTTAGGGCTTTACATTCATCAGGGACGGTAGAAGGCTCATTGCTAGTTTTAAAAAAAAAATGTGTTTGTCCTCATAAACGTTCCATTTATCCTAAGTACTGAGGCATGAAAGGATTAAAAGCAATTCTAATAATAATGCATTCTGGATGAATTGGAGGAGTCTTGGGTTCTTTTCCTAACTCTAAAAATAACAAATGTAATCTCTCCGGCCGTCGGAAAAGTCTTTTTAGCTAGGTTTTCTCTTCCACAAAACGATGATACTAATACCCTTCCTATATAATTCACCTCTTTTCATAAGACAAAATATGTAAAAAACCATCCTGCCCTTCTACCAAGAAGGTTTGCCCTTCTCTCAACTCCATCACTTCTTAAACTTTGTCTGTTATGTTACCTAAAATAAAACTAAAATTTCTCTATCTCTATGCTTTTTACACACATGATTTTCCTCATGTACTCTTCTTTCATAATCAGTCACATAGGCAGAGTTGAAAAATACTGGCCTCATTTAAAAACTCATGTTAGTGTGCTTTCAAGGAGAGAATACATATTTTGTTTGTAGTGAATTAAGATTTATTTAAAATAATCAACTGGCTAATAAGACAAAGAAAGAGATGAAGTTTGGGACCTAAATATTAACTTGTGATATCTTCAGGTAGAAGAAAAAGTGTGATGTTTAAAGAGCTTAAGGGGTTAAGGCGCCTGGGTGGCTCAGTCGTTAAGCGTCTGCCTTTGGCTCAGGTCATGATCCCAGGGTCCTGGGATCGAGCCCCGCATCGGGCTCCCTGCTCAGCGGGAAGCCTGCTTCTCCCTCTCCCACTCCCCCTGCTTGTGTTCCTGCTCTCACTGTCTCTCTCTGTCACATAAATAAATAAAATCTTTAAAAAAAAAAAAAAAGAGCTTAAGGGGTTGAAAGGAACAGATGAAAGCTGGAATCCTGGCATCAATAAGTGTCTCCAGAGCACTTTTGGGTAACACTCCAAGACGCCTTCATTAGTCCAATGTTTTCAACTGACTTAGTAGAAGGAGCTATTCAAGACTTGATAAAAGAAGATTTGGTCTATAATCTGCTTTTCCCGAGCACATAAATCCCATGAAAAATCTGCATAATTTCTGGAGCTATAACAGCAATTCATTCATTCATTTATTCTGTAAATGATCCTGTACTCTTCACTGGCACATATAGTAAAAACAAATGAATTTATAAATAAAATAAATACAACTGTAATAAAATAAAATATAATTTCACTTAGGAATGTCCTTGTAGATGCAGTAAAAAATGATTAATTTTATCAAATTGTATTAAATGCCAACCCATAGTCTAGTGAAGAAATGGGAGGTATGCATAAAGCAGTTCTGCTACATAACATACGATGTTCTTCTCAAGGGAAGTACTTGTGTGATTATTTAAGAACTAAACCAGTTATTGTTTTGGGGGTTTTACTGCACAAAATACCATTTTTACATGAAAGACATCTATCGTTATTCAGACTAGTGTATTTGGAAGCCATTATATCTTAATAAAGTGAATCTGTCACTTCAAGGAAAACAACTATTTGTTGTCAATGATAAATTGGAGTTTCAAACAAATTGAGACTTCTGAAAAACTTTTATCAACCTCTGTGATATCAAGGGAGGTGAAAAGGTGTATTTTTTTTCTATATTGCTTAATGAAATGCGTCAATCTATGGAAGATCTACATAATTCAGTGAAACACTATTTTCCAAATGGTCAACACATGATGTTACAAAATTATACATGGATAAATTGTCCAGAGTACAAGACAGACCAATGGATTTAATATAACAAAGTATGAAAGCTCCTTGATAAGGCTTTAGAGTGCACATTGCAAAAAACACATTTATGAAACAAAACTTGTCAAGTTTTGGTGTAGTATCAAAAGAGTAGCCACAATGACCTAAAATTACTATTAAAATACTCCTCTCTTTTCTAACTTCATCTCATGTTGCATTTTCTTTATATACTTTAGCTAAAGCTACATATTATAACAAACTGAATGCAGAAGGAGATATGAGAACCCACCAATCTTATATTAAGCCAGGTATTAAAGAGACTTGGAAAAATACATTATAGTGTCATTCTTCTCAGTAAATTATTTACTGTTTTAGAAAGTGTAATTGTTTTTTATAAAAATGTTATTTATAGTAACATGTAATATATTTATGATTTTTAAATGGATGAATAAATAAATATTTTAAACTTTTGTCAGCTTTAAATACTAATGGAATAAATACCAATAAATAGAGCCCATATAAACAAAAGATCTGTGGAATCTTCAATAATATTTAAGAGTATAAAAGGTCCTGAGACCAGAAAATTTGAGGACCACTACTCTAATCCATGAGGAAGATGAAATGAATCTGGTATGAAGTCTTAGGAATCAAAGAAATACCTGACAAACATGTATTACTATACCTTAAGATTAAGGATTATAAACATAGTAAGTAGGCCAGATAAACACTCTTAAGAATTCAGATGAATAAATGCTTGGTGGAAGAGGTAATAGTTGAATAACCAAGTGAATGACTCACTAACCTAGGATAGCTGCAGTGGAAATGGACAGAATATAAATACAAGGTAATTTTGGAGGTAACAGCACCATGTTTGGGAAAGTGATCTGAACAAGGGAGCAAGAGGAGACATCAAATACAATTCTGAGAACATGAACTCAGGGTGACAAGAGAAAAATTATCAATAGGAAAAGAATGTATTAATGTCATTTTACCTAGAAAACACGGCAAGGAGAGCATGTTTAGAAGGAAATAAGAGTTCGATTTTACGTGTATTGCATCTTAGGTACCTGTGAAACATCCAAATCAGGATTTCAAGCAGTCGATTGAAAATGGTAAACTGGAGATCAAAGAGAAATAAATTTCCTCTTAAACTATGCAAGGGGAAGAATGTAGATGAGATTGTTGGGGAAGGGATGATACAGGCAAAAAAAAAAGCATTGTTATCTGTAAATAACAAATGTCTGCACACTTCCAAAAGTTTCACTTTTCATATTTGACATTTCCTGTTTTTACTATTATACTAAAAAATGTTAGTATTAGGTGACTTGACTTTGTAAAACATACATTTCAAGAGAGAACACATTAGCAGTTCAAAATTAGCACACTGCAAGGTTAATGACTTCCATCAGCAAACTTAATAACTTTTCTAAAATTAGATTCACAACATGCTTTTCACAAACACATCTACAGGTGCTATATGAGATATATACAGAGATGATTCAATGGCGATGTGATAATCAGGTTTTGTCTGCTGATATTTATGTTACCTCTCGGTCTAGCTGAGATGATGATGTGGTGATCACGCCTGTAGCTGGATGCATGGAAAACAGCGTGGGGTATGCTGGCAACTGCTCGATGATTGAGTACTTGAGACGCGTGTGCATCGTGTCAGGTTCATCTTTGTCAGTTGCACATACCTGTCCCACGGTAGAACCTACATATTGAAAAATCCTCTTTAATTTCCAAATCTTTTACATTTTCAACATCCCCTTTATTTCATTCCTTTCCATCTACCTCAGAAAGCTTTTGGACCACTTAATTATATGGCTGAGTAGTAGTTTTTATACATTTGCAGACTTTTATATGAAGTATCATTTTTAAATATATCCCAGCATTCTAACATTTGGGAATTTGGTGACCATGTCCGTATTTACTGTATAATTTTATAAATGTTGATAATATCCATCCACTGCCCTTGTATTTCTAGACTAAAGAATTCTAACTACTCTTTAACTTCTATTTCTAAGTCTGCCCTTACATTGATCAAATGGTCAAAAATGTGTCCAAAACTCTTGGTTTACTTAGATCTTTCTGGAAGACTCAAAAATTGCATTCTAACTTCCAGCTGATAAGGTCCATTGACATAAGATTGAGAAAACCTTTGTATTACTCTCAATGACCTTTATGATAATGCTCAGAGTACTGCCAATCGTTTAATCAGTATGGGATATCAGTAGATCTCTTCAAGGCTAAGACTTTAATTGCTCAAAGACTTATTCTTTTTAAAGTGTGTTCTCTTAGAAGTATTTATTTTATCTCACACAGTAAGTAATTGAGTAATTTCTCTAGTTTTCAGGCACTAGACTTAGCCTTCCAGGTGTACGATGCATCATTTAATCTTCACAACAATTTTGCATATCATAACCCATTCTACAGATAAGGAAACTAAGGTTTGTCAAGACTAGAAGTCTGCCCAAGGTCAGAGCACACAGCTAGTGAAAAGCAGAGCAAAATTCCCACCCACAGCAACCCTGATTGGCAAGTCCCTTGTTCTTGCCAGCGGAATATGCTGCCTCCCAATGGTCACAGTGAAATTCAATTTATGAATTAAAATGTTAAGTTGCCATACATTGTTAAGATAGGTACGCACCAACTCTGCAATTTTCGGAAACGGTAAAAACGTAAGTTGTTTCTGTAAAAATTGGGTAGTTATCATTTTCATCCTCAATTCTGATTACCAGGGGCAGTGGAAGTTCTGGAGTATATCCATCCGGAGTTGTGGCGAAGGCAATTAGCTGTGAAGAGTCAAATAAGGAGAAAAGCAAAATTGAAATATGGTTCCAACTTCCTTTGGCTTCAATTTGGAGACTGTTCAGCACTGCGGCGTGAATTTCACCACTTGTTATTGTTTGGGGATGTCGACGTAACCTTAATGTCACAGGAGGTGGTTAATGCCATGGTGTACTACAGCATTTTATGTTTATCTAATATAATAACATAGATAATCCTGGTTTCTTTACTAGTGCTGTACTACTAGGGATGAGTGTTAACAACTTTTATTATTATTTTCCCAGAACAGTCCTGAAGATTATTTTGTGGGGTTTTTTGGTTTTGTTTTGTTTTATTAAGTCTATCATTTTAATCCCGGTTGTTAACATAGTGTTGTATTAGTTTCAGGTGTACTATAGTGATTCAACACTTCCATAAATAGCCGGTGCTCATCACAAGTGCCCTCCTTAATCCCCATCCCCTATTTCCCCCATCACCCTACCCACCTCCCCTCTGGTAACATGTTTGTTCTCTATAGTTAAGAGTCCGTTTCTTGGTTTGCCTCTCTCTCTTTTATTTTTCCTTTTGCATGTTTGTTTTGTTTCTTAAATTCCACATTTGAGTGAAATTCTATGGTATCTATCTCTCTCTAACTTATGTCACTTAGCATGATACTCTCTAGCTCCGTCCACGTCATTGCAATGGCAAGATTTCATTCTTTTTTATGGCTGAGTAATATTCCATTGCATTTATATACCACTCTTCATAGCCACTCATCTATCAATGGACACTTGTGTTGCTTCCATAATTTGGCTACTGTAAATAATGCTGCTATAAACATAGGGGTGCTTGTATCCTTTTGAATTAGTGCTTTTGTATTTTTTGGGTAAATGCCAAACAGTGTGATTACTGGATTGTGGGATAGTTCTATTTTTAACTTTTTGAGGAATGTCCATACTGTTTTCCACAGTGGCTGCACCAGTTTGCATTCCCATCAACAATGCAAGACGGTTCAGGGCGCGTGGGTGATTTGGTCGGTAAAGCATCTGACTTCAGCTCAGGTCATGATCTCGGGGTCGTGAGATGTGATCACATCGAGCACCACCTGTGTCAGGCTCCCTGCTCAGCGGGTAATCCGCTTCTCCCTCTGCCCCTCCTCCCGACTCATGCTCTCTCTCTCTCTCTCTAATAAATATATAAAATAAAATCTTTCATAAAAATAAAGAAATAATGCAAGAGGGTTCCTTTTTCTCCACATCCTTGCCAATCCTTGTTGTTTCTTGTGTTTTGAATCTAGCCATTCTGACAGCTGTAAGGTGATATCTCATTGTGGTTTTGATTTGCATTTCCCTGATGATAAGCAATGTTGAGCATCTTTTCATGTGTCTGTTGGCCATCTGAATGTCTTCTTTGGAGAAATGTCTGTTCATGTCTTTTGCCCATTTTTAAGTGGATTATTTGTTTTTTGGGTGTTGAGTTTCGTAAGTTCTTTATATATTTTGGATACCCTTTACTGGATATGTCATTTGCAAATATCTTCTCCCATTCAGTAGGTTGCCTTTTAGTTTTATTGTTTTCTTCACTGTGTAGAAGCTATTTATTTTGATGTAGTCCCAACAGTTTATTTTTGCTTTTATTGCCCTTGCCTCAGGAGACACATCTAGAAAAAAAGTTGCTATGGCTGATACCAGAGAAATTATTGCCTGTTCATTCTTCTAGGCTTTTTATGGTTTCAGGTCTCACATTTAAGCCATCTTGAGTTTATTTTTGTGTATGGTATAAGAAAGTGTTCCAGTTTCATTCTTTTCATTCTTTTGCATGTAGCTGACCAGTTTTCCCAACACCATTTGTTGAACAGACTGTCTTTTTCCCATTGTATATTCATTCCTCCTTTGGTGAAGATTAATCAACCATATAATTGTGGGTTTATTTCTGGGTTTTCTATCCTATTCCATTAATATAGGTCTCTATTTTTATGCCAGTACCACACTGTTTTGATTAGTACAGCTTTGTTTATCTTTTTTAAAAAAAATTTATTTATTTATTTGAGAGAGAGAGGGAGAGGGACCACAAGCAGGGGGAGGGGCAGAGGGAGAAGCAGGCTCCCCGCTGAACAGAGCTGGATATGAGGCTCAATCCCAGGCCCCTGAGATCAAGACCTGAGCCGAAGGCAGATGCTTAACCGACTGAGCCACCCAGGTGCCCTTTGTTTATTTATCTTTAAAGATTTTATTTTTGTTAAGTAATCTTTACACCCAACATTGGCTCAAACTTACAACCCTGAGATCAAGAGTCACATTTTTCACCAAATGAGCCAGCCAGGCGCCCTGATTAGTAGAGCTTTGTAATGTGACTTCAAGTCTGGAATTTTTGTTTTTCCTTTTCAAGACTGCTTTGGCTATTTAGGGTCTTTTGTGGTTCTATACATATTTTAGGATTGTTTGTTCTAGTTCTGTGAAAAACGCTATTGGTATTTTGATTGGGACTGCATTAAATCCATAGACTGTTTTGCACAGTATGGGCATTTTAACAATATTTGTTCTTCCAACCCATGAGCCTGGAATATCTTTCCATTTCTCTATCATTTTGTTTTGTTTGAAAGTTTCCAGTGCATGGATTTTAAATACCACTCTCTGGATCTTCAATAACTTTGGATTCTTATGACTCCAAATTCCCCAGGTGCAGTTAACTAGAATATTATCCTATATTCTACTAATTAGAATTTCATGCATATTGGTAGTTATATTTAGATAATTCTCTTCATGAGAATTTTTTACTTTAAAAAAGGAAAGTTAGAAATAGAACAAATGCACGGCTATAAATTGTATGTGGAATGCAATTTATTTCTTTTATTTTATAATATGAATTTCAACTCCAATTTTTCTCATAACAGCTCTCAGAGAAAGCAGAACATCACAGGTACTTAGAAGGCCATCTTGTAGCAATTCCAAACCTAAATATTTAAATCTAGGGATGCCTGGGTGGCTCAGTCGGTTAGTAACTTTTGCTTTCAGCTCAAGTCATGATCTCAGGGTTGTGACATCGAGCCCTGTGTCTGGGCTCCCTGCTCAGCACAGAGTCTGCTTGAGATTCCTTCCCTCTCCTTCTCCCTTCCCCTCTGTCCCTCTCCCCACTCAGGCATGCTCTCTCTCTATATAAAATAAATAAATAAAATCTTTTTTAAAAGGTGAAACTATCATACCAACACCAATCTAAGAATCTAATGCTCTTTATTCTATAAAGCTCTTTTTGCTTCAAGTCTGTGCTATCAGATGTAGCCAGAGCAGAGACAACAAGCTCAGAGAACAGAAAAAGGTAAGCAAATTGAGAATGGGAGATGAAACAGCCAAGCTTAATAATTACTAATACAATATGGAAACTTTAGACTTTACCTCAAAAGATTCATACTCCTCACGATCCACAGGACGAGTGCAATACAGGTTTCCAGTATCTCTCTCTACATAAAATAAATTTGTAGGTTCTCGGTCCACCCCAGGTCCTCTTATGGAATAGAATATAGTGTAGTTTTGTGCAGTGTCAGATTGAATCTAGAAAGTAGATATTATATACATAAGAGACAAATTTTTATTTCAGCAAAACTTTCATCTATATATGTTTATGCAATCATGTTGCCATTTTTGTTGCAATAAGTAATTGCCCCCTTTAATTTGTTATCATGCATGAATAAAAAACAGCAACAGAATAAGGAAGGCTAATAATTGAGAAATTTCAAGAGCAAGGCATGAGGAAAATAATGTAGTAGTGTCTTAGTTTTCCCGAATAACTGAGAAATACACTAAATGGTACCTATATGAACCAAACATTTAAGACTTTAACTGTCTGAGAAAACAAAGTATTCAGAGTATGAAAAATTACTCTTTCGTTAATTTTTTAAACTTGAAGTTTTATTATACATAACATTTGAGGCGCTAGGTTTAAAGTTACTATATACAGGGAAAAACCATGGGAAATGCTTTCCTTAGTTAGTTTCTATTATTTGTCAGCATCTTTTTATTATAGAAGCTGAGGTGAAAGGATGGGTGGAAATGGGGGAGAATAGAAATGACATAACATCTTGGCAAGTGTGATATTCTGGTACTTGATTCAAAAAGCAAATTTTTTCCCAAGTTGTTTTTTTTTTTTTAAAGATTTTATTTATTTATTTGAGAGACAGAGAGAATGAGATAGAAAGCACGAGAGGGAAGAGGGTCAGAGGGAGAAGCAGACTCCCTGCTGAGCAGGGAGCCCGATGCGGGACTCGATCCAGGGACTCCAGGATCATGACCTGAGCCGAAGGCAGTCGCTTAACCAACTGAGCCACCCAGGCGCCCTTTCCCAAGTTGTTTTGATTCTCTTAGTAAGATCTTGACTGTATGTCAGGATGACTAACAATGATTTTCAAACGATTTCTTTCTCAACTTTGAGATGCTCTTTTCTCAACTGTATGAAATTTGTTGGTGGGATATAAAGGAGAGTTTCTCTCAAATTTCAAGAACTGAGAGAAAAGAAACCCAAGTCAAGGACTCAATGGTCATGGCAATGGGTAGTAGAAAAAGGCAAGATTCGCTGGGGTTGCTACTGAAAGAAAGAGAGAGAAAATGTGGATCCAGTATGATTTAAGTAGTGGCCTTGGGGATTAACAGTGGAAAGGATGTATGTGTCTTTTGCCCTTCATGGCATTTGTCCTGGTGTCAGCAATTTCATCTATTATGAAAGATGTTTGGGGTTTCTAGACTATGCGCCCAGGCGACATGCTGCTAATATGAAAATTCATTAAGGAACCATGTGTTTGAGAGTGCTAGATGTGTTTTACAATTTCATAAATGGACTTTTCAGGACTAAAACTGCAAAAAAGTGTATGCTGGTATAAAGATATATATTTTTACCCATTTACTGAAACATATAATACACATACTCATGTAGTCATACAGAACTGTTTTTAAAAATAACTTTATATTCATCGCCCAAATTAAAAAAAAAAAAATGGAAACCACAGACCTTCACAGTGAAAGGAAAGTAAATTGTACCTGTTGAAGAAAAAGTGGGAAAGGACCCAAGGAATTCTCTTGCATTGAACAAGGAATAGGAGCCCATCTTCTCTTGGCACGTCTTAGGACTTTTTCTTTAGAATGCCTCTTCTTTAATACCTCAATTTAGAACACAGGAAAAAAATAATAAATTCCATGGTTACCTTATTCGCAAATATTGGAACTCTGACACATCTCTCATGAGGATTAACTGGGAAGGTGTAAGACCACGGTGGTGCTTAAAAACCAAACTAAAAAGATAACGAAGAAATAGCGGTCCTCTCTGTTAACACATCAGTACGCTCAAGAAAATAACTTGGTATGAACATGGAAGAAGGAGATGAAATTGGAAGCCTAGAAGCAAAATTAAAAAAACAAAAACAAAAACAAAACCAACAACGTTACTGTTGCCATACTGCCATGCAAAACCATGGGAGGAGAGAGATGCAAGGAAAAGAAATAAAGTGAATGACCTTCTAAATCTAGCATATGCACCTTCCACTCACCAGCAACTAGGAAGAGCCAGGGACCAACAGAGAGATCTGTGTCAGAACGGGGAGAGAAAAATGGTGATAACTCTCAAGCTGCTGCACTGAATTATGGCCGATGGTTAAATAGAAATCACCTGGATCTTTGGTGTCAGAGTCCAATAAGCATGCCTGAGGTCTGAATCTCAACCTAAAATAGTCATCTACTTTTTAAGACTACAAATTATGCTGTCTAAGATACATATAGACAGAGTTTCAAAATTTGTTTTGGAAATCTATTCTATAGGAAAAGATCAAGAAATGCTTCTTTGTGTCTAATCTCAAATTCTCAGGCTGTAGCCTCCCAATTTCTCTGTTTGTGTCCCAAATGAAAAGCAATGACAACCTAGAATAACTGATGTGGCAAAACCTTTTTCCACCATTTGAATACTGTTAAGTTGCATGATGGTTTCCATTCTTCACCAAGCTGAACTATCCCACGTCATCTCTGATTCCACATCTTCCCTGGTAATGTTACACCTGCAGAATACAATTCATTATGCTTCATTTTTATAGTTTGGTGTACCTTTGTTTGATGCTGTAAAAGAACAAGTAGTTTCTTTTCTTCTTGGTTCTCAGTGTTGTAAAGTAATATGGTAAAACTTCTCTCCTCTGAGGACAAAAGAATAGCATTTGTTGTATAGAGAGAACCGTCTTCTAAAATCTGGAAATCAGGGTCACTTGAATAAATTAGATTTGCAGACTGAAAGCACTCCTTCAGGTTAACTGTAGAAAATATACACATGCAATCATTTGTAAGGTAAAACAAAACAATATATAGTGCTAACAGTAATCTATGCATTTGGGGGTGGGGAGCCAAAAACTTAAAATTACACTGACACTTGTAAACGTTGCATTTTTAGAAGTACATGTGAAACTATATGGTTAATTAAATTGTGCATAAACACATATGTCACTTCAAATACCTCCTTTATGTCCTTTTAAAAAAGAGACATTTGTCCTAAAATGAAGGCGTGTGAGTTCCAGTGTTTTAGTATGTAAACCAATACCAAAAGAAGTTTTTCTTTATTAACTGAAATTAGCCATAGAGTAACACATGAGAGAACTTAAACAGAATCTAGAAAATTAATCAGCAGTTATTAAATAAAAATATTTCTTAACTCTTTGCATCTATTGTTAGAGTCATTATATTCTGTGCTCTCACTGGTCTGCTCTTTCCTTGTAAGCTTGAGTTATGTGAAAAAAATTAATTGATAAGGGGCACCTGAGTGGCTCAGTCAGTTTAGCGTGGGACTCTGGATTTCAGCTCAGGTCATGATCTCAGGATTGTGGGATCGAGCCCCGCGTCAGGCTCCACGCTGAGCAGAGCCTGCCTAAGATTCTCTCTCTCCCTTTCCCTCTGCCCCCCGCCACTGCTCTTTCTCCCCCTCTCTCAAAAAAATAAATAAATAAATAATTGATGAAAAGCAATTTCTGGAAATATGTATCAGTAAAATACCAAAATGTTTCATTATTAAAATCCAAAAACAATACCTTTAAACTCAAGAAATAGATTCAATACTATTTCTCAATTTCATAGAAGTATGTTATAACGTATGCCATTACCCCCATGTAATATAAATATTAATGATTATTTGTTACTCAAACTAAGCCTTTTTATCCACTTCATATAGTCGTGGTTTTCAATAAAGGACAATATTTCTTTTATTGGAATGATATTATGTGCATTACAAATGATAATGTAACATATTAGTTTTAACTATTGATTCCAATACAGCTATCCTTCTAAAAAATGACACTAATTTTACAAGATCATACCAAGTAAGATCCATTACACATTTTAGCAGTTTCTTACCTCTACCAACAAATTTCTCAGCGTCTAGTTGGGAGGGAACTTGTAGTACGACTTTTTTGCAGGCATCACAGGTAAACGTTAAGATCTAAAACATCAAATCAGTGTTACACATTAAAAAAAGATCCTTTTAATCTGTACATAGTTCATATAAATTAGAAATTGGTATAATTATAAATTAGTTTATACAAGTAGCAAAGTAAAACTTAAAAACATACTGCAGTAGAAATCAGAACAAAATTACGTGGAGAGGAAGGAAACAAAGGACCAAGAGTCATGGCTCTCTCCTTCGCAAAGCATGTAAACTCCAAGAATTCCTTACCCTTTTGGGTTTTGTTTCCTTTTCTGTAAAAAGGAGCTAACGGTAAATTCACTGACTAATATGGTGAGTATACTGAGGAACGAATGACAACCAATGTGAGAGCACTAAAAACTTAGGAAGGCAGCACAGGTAGGTGAACAGGAAAAACAAACAAAAACAAATTTAGAGAGTCAGCAAAGTGTTTCAATTAATAGTCAATTGCCTATGAAACTATGGTACCAAATCAATAGTATCTTAAACAAAAACCCAATGCTTTAAAGAGAAGCATCAACTCATTATCACGGAGTGACTTGGAGATTACTTATCTATGACCCCACACAAACAAGCACAGAACTTTGAAATATGAATTTATTTTGAAGGCGCATCTTCTCGTAAGTGACCAGTAAGGTCATTCTACAAAATATTTCACTTAAAATTTTTTAAATGAGTTAGTGATTTATGGTAAGCAATTCCAATACAATATATATTTGAACACACCGAAATTTAAATCTGTTCTCCCTAAAACTGTATAATGCACGCTTCTGAAAGATTCAACAATTCTACAGTTTTGCAAAGGCTTTTAACCAAAAGCAAGATAGCTGACTAACATTGATACTATATTTACAAAGTCTATAAACACAAATTAAAATAATCAAAATTTGGATTAAAATTTTTATTTCTAATACACATTTTTATTTCCACTACACATGCCAATATACATTTAATTATCCAATTTAAGTTATATATGGAGGATCAGGCAAGGCAGTGATTACATGTCATTTGGAAATTAGGGATGGACACAGTGAAGAGACTATTTGGATTGGAAATTAAAAGATGAGAAGAACCTTCACTGGCTGTATTGTCTTAGAGAGGACAGGAGTAAAATGAGATGTGTGAAGAGTCCAGTTCAAGGTCGTTGAAAACATGCATCTACTTCTTCATTCAACCAACATTTACTGGTTGCTTACTACATACAAGGCAGTGTTCAGCAGTGAACAAAGTCCTTGACCTCATGGAGATTACCTTATAATGTGAGACAAAAAAAAAAATAAATACACAAAAGTCATGTAATTCCAAGAGATAAATGTTATAAGAAAAATAAAACAGGGAGAAAAGGTGACAGAGGGAAGACCAGAAGCCCGCACGAAATGAGGAAGCAAACCAGTTCACTAACTGGGGAAGAGTCTTCCAGGCGGAAGAAAAACCAGAACAAAGACCCTGGAAGAGGATTTTACCTGGTATGTTAGAGGAACAAAAAGGCAGTCATGGTAGGAAAGCAGAGTGAGGGAAGAGTGATATAAGATGATATTAAAGGGACAGTCATGGGCATATCACATATGGTCTAAAAGGCCATAGTAGGAGTGTAGATTTTATTCTGAGTACAAAGAGAAGCAACCATAGGTTTAGAAGCTGTGGAATGGCATAATGTGGTGAGCATTTACACAGACTCATTCTGGTGGCCCTGTGAGAACAGACTACAGAGAAGCAAGAGTGGAAGCAAGAAGACCAGTTGGGAGGTTCCAGCAGAAATGTAAGAGAGGGAGGATGGTGACCTGGACTAAGGTGAAAACAGCAGAGAAGGTGAAAAATGGCTGGACTAATTCACTACTCTAGAGAACAGTATCCTGGACATCCATTCATTCATGCATTTAACTAATATTTATTGAATGTCTACTATGTACCAGACACAGAGCAGTAAACATGATCCTCATGAAACTTTCAAAAGGGTAAGACAGAGTGGTAATTTCAATAAAGTAGGATAAATGCTCTACTAGAGAGGTACAGGGTGTGATAGGATAGCAGGGGGAGCTAGCCTCTTGTAAGAGCGAGGTGAGGTCACCTGAAGAGTGGCTGTCCATTAGCCATGTCAAGAGGAGGCATAGCGTCCATGTTCCAAATACAGAAACAGCAAATGTGAAGCCCAGAGATGACACAGGTCTGAAAACAAAATCTTGAAAGGCTGATGCTCACAGCACAAGAGGGACAAAGTTTAAAATGAATTCAGGGGCGCCTGGCTGACTCAGTCAGTAAGAGCCTGCAACTGTTGAACTCGGGGCTGTGAATTTGAGCCCCACTTTGGGTGTAGAGATTGCTTAAAAATAAAATCTTAGAAAAGAAATAAAAGAAAATGGATTCAGAGAAGTAGGTGTGGGGTAGATTCTGAACAGTGTTAACTAAGTATATGGAACTTTTTGTTCCTAAAGACAGTAAGAAACCAAAGATTTGCTTTAAGCAGATAAATGACATAAGCAGCCTCCCACTGGAACAAGGTGAGTCCGAGCAGTGTGCGGAATAGATCAGGGGAATGATTCTCATTTCCAGTGGCAGCTAGGTCATTCGGGGGGGCGGAAATGCCAAAATGAAAAATAATGGATATGTTTTTTTTGTTAACGGTCCTAAACCATCTAACAAAGAATTGCTAGGCAGAAACTGAGGATCAAGCTCAAACACAGAGTGGTAATCAGATGCAACTTCTGATCTGAAAAAAGACTTGTTTGGCCTCAATGAAAGAGAAGAAAATCAAGTACAGACCTGCCTAAGATCTAAGAAAAGAGCTGCCCACATTAATCTGGGACCCCAAATGTAAAACCTTCACCATAGAGGGAACCTGAAGCAAACTGGTCCTTGAATGGATTTGTGATTCACATTCACCTTACTTGCTTGGTCTGGGAACCTCAAGCCACTGATTAAAGAAGGCCTGGCATGTAATCACCTCCATAGATGCTGAAAGACGTTTGACCAAATTCAGTAACAATCCTAAGATTTAAAAAAAAAAAAAGCCCCCAAGGAGTTAATAAGTACTTCTTCAAGATGATTTTTATATTATATTATGTTTTAATCACAACATCTAATGGAAAGCATTAGCAGCAGCCCCACTAAACTCAGAAACAACATACTTTCCAAGGTCATCATTTATAGTTAACATTACATTAAAATATATTAGGCAAGACGGAAATATCAGATGACATATGGATTGGAAAGGAAGAAGCAAAAAAAAAAATCTCTATTTGCATTTGATATGACTACCTGGAAAACTGAAAGAAATCAACTAATAAATTACTATAAAACTAATAATACTATAAATTACTATAATTACTATAGAATTGCAGTAAGGGAGCAGAAACAACTATTAAAATACAGAAATCTTTAGTCTTTGTACACATAAATACAAGTTAAATAATATAATGAAAGAGAAGGAATTATTTTCAAAAGCAATAAAAAGTTAAAAGGCCAAGGAGTAAACCTAACAAGAAACATGTAAAGCCCTACTTGAGAAAAATCTGAAAATATTTCTGAAGGGCACAAAGTAGACTCACACAAAAAGAAAGATATATCATTATTTTGGATAGAAAAAAAAATCAACATAAATATATCAATTTCCACTAAGTTAAATCATAAATTTCATAATGTCAATAAAAATCTTAGTAGTATTTTTTTCTGGAACTAGACAAGCTGATTTAAAAGGTCATAAGGAAAAATAAATAAGAATAGATGGGAAAATTATGAAAAAGAAAAGCAATGAAAGGATATTAGACTTAGCAGTTTTTTAAAAATACTATGAAGTCAATAATTAAAACTGCCATTTTGTATATGAATAGGCAGAAAGATATTAGATGCATACAAATTGGAAAGGAAGAAGTAAAAGAGTTTCTATTTGTATTTGTTATAACTGTATACAGTCCATAAATGTTCTAACTTTGTTATACTCGCCAATTATAGGAGTTCCTATTTCACCACATTCTTGCCCATGCTGTGTGTTGTCAAACTTCTGAGTGTTTGCCAAATGAGGAATATATCACTGAAGTTTAACTACATCTTTTCTTATTATGAGCGAGGCTGAAATATTTTTAGGGGCCATTTTTAGTACTTTATGGGACTTTTTCATATCCATGTTCATGTTGGACTATTTGATTTATAAGAGCTCTTTATATACTTGTAGATTAGCCTTTTAAAATATGACCTGCACTTTTTTTTTCCAATCTGAGTTACCTTTGACTTTGCTTATAATATTTTTGTTTGCGTTGTTATTTTTGCCATGGTCAAGTGTGTGTGTGTGTGTCTTAATATAACTGATTTATATTATTTATAATATTGATCATAATTTGATATAATTGGTTTTCTCAATATTAATAAATGGCTTTTGAAATCTAAGCCATGTGAACCATAGATAGGCCTTCTTGACTCCAAACTTAAACAGGAATTCACCATGTTTTCTTCTATTAACTGTATGGCATCATATGTTAGATTTAAACCTTTCATCTGTTTGGACTTTTCTGTGTTCTACATGAGTTATGGGTTCGACTTCATCTTTTGCCAAACGACTGCCTAGATCAAGTAGTCTCATACTATATATATAGATATATAGTATAATATAATACCGTATAATATAACATGCTCTATAATATATAATATCGGAGATTATACTGAGTATAGTACTATACTAAAATATTATAGTATATTAATATAATAACTAATATATTAGTATACTATATACATTATATATTATATATAATACTCTATATATATCCTCAATGATGTGATATGACACCCATTATAAAACAGCTTTCCATCTAGTCATGTACAACCTTTATGGAGGGGTGAAGGAGCTGTTAATATCTACCAAAAGTACAGTCATTTATACTTTTATCTAGCAATACCATTTCTGGTAATCTAATCTATTCTATTCATACACCTGCCCATACATGAAATGACATATACACACAAGTTTATTCACTATGACATTATTTGTAATAGCAAAAAGTAATAGCAGAGATGATGGACAGCAGCAGAGATATCCATAAGGTATTTCTGAATGTAGATTTAATAGGACTTAATGATGGATTTGGGGAGGGGAGCAGTGAGGAAGGAAAAGCAAACAGCTTCCAGACATCCTACCTGAGCAACAAGGTGCAGGGTAGTGTCATTCACTGAAATACAGGATGTCAGAAGAAAAGCAACATTGTTTAAGAAGATAATAACTGCTGTGTCACACATCATACTGGGGAGATATAAAGACTTATTGTTTAATGAAGACATCCCAACTACCAAAATAAATTTCATCTAAGGAGTCACCTGTATGATATTTCACGGACAGGACCTAGAATAGGGAGTCTGATTCTGAGTAGTCAGGAACAGGAAGGTCAAAAGAAAAAAAGGGAGTGAATTTCAATAAAGGCACAATCTACAAGGTGGAATTGCATAAGGAATGGTTTATATTTAGCAGTGGAGATCCGTTATGACCTTAGAGAGTGAGCAGCCTCATTAGATGTTTGGGTAGAAACCAGAGTTCAAGTGGTTAAGACACGTGTGTGGTGAGGCGGTACTAGGAAGCAGGGAGAAGCTGCTTTGTAGAATGGTGAAGGATTAACTGGGTACATGGAAGACGAGGAAATGTAAAGGGTGTTCCCCCAGTGAATAGGAATTATTCGCTCCTACTTAATAACATCTTCTACTCAAACGCTCTTTACACATCTATCGCACTTGAGGCTCACGAGCACAAGAACCACCTGAGGCTGGCAGGACTTGGCCCTGATATGCACACAGACACCGGAGCAGCTAGAAGGACCCACACAACACCTTCCAGCTAGAATGTAGCAGGATGAGGGGTGCTTTGCTATCTATCCACTTCTGGCCAATCCAGCTTTGAAGCTAAGAAAAGTCACCTTTAGTTTATTCACTTCATCGTCTTTCTTCCACAAAGGACCTGAGAGCACACAGAGAAAGTTTTGTGTGTAAGCATATGCAAAGCAATGCTATTTATTGCCCATACCTATTACTGTCCATGCTTAATTACGCCTATTACTGTCCATGCTTAATTAGCCCCTTTTCCTTCAGAGAGTAATGGCCAGTGGTTTAAAAAGAAGGGGGAACTTTATTAGGGATCTAACCAAAGTCATTTCTTTGTCATCAGCTACATATGTTGTGACCGTTATTTATTCCATTCTCGGTTTTCTCAACCATAAAATACTAATTGCTGCGCACCTGGCCCTTTCTATGATACTAATGTGCCCTGGGAATTTAACTAAGGGTCTGAAGTCCATAGAACTCCTAGAGAAAGACCGTGTAATGACAGTACTACAATTTCATGACTTAAACATTTAAGGAATTCACTGTGAACTAAGAGCGGTTGAGAAGTGAAATGATCCGACTATTTCACCCCCAGCTCCAGCACTCCCAGAAGGAATCTTCCTGCTGTCTGTTCTCCAGGTTTGTCCCCTTGTCCTTCAGGCAACTTTGTGCTCCAACGCCTGGGGCTCAACGAGAAAGGACACTACCGGGTTGAGCACTTTCTGGCACCTGGTCTGTTTAATTTTTCTCTTCCTAGGGGACTCAGGACGTCCAGTCCGGGAAACCTCTGATCCCAAACTCGCCAGGGGCTGTCCACTGGCACTGAATCCCTGTACCTTCTGCCTCCCCCCTCTCCGTTCCTGGCCATGGGACCCCAGGCTTTTCTGCCTGGGCGGGGAACTGTCCGTCCCCAAATCAAGCCACCCCTTTTCACTCCCAGATTTGGGTGGGTGAGGTCATTGCTACTGTGTTCTTTAAAGTGGGGAAGAAGTTAGAGCGAGAGGGCAAAAGAGAAGAATCCAGATGCCTCTGCACAAGAGATCTGGACGAACATTTCCCTAAAGATTAAGGGGGTAGCAACCGCACACGCTGACAATGGGAACTATACAAAGGGTCATCTAGGGCCCGCCCATCTATCATTTCCAGGCCGAGTGACGAGACCAGTCCTCTACAGACACGCACACGCACACGCACACACTGAGAGCAAGCCCGGGAAAGGGGCGTAGTCCTCCCACCTAAGGGCACTTTCGGTCCCGTCCGCCCAGCGCTCCTTTCCGCCGCGGCCGGAACCGGGCACCGCGGCCGAGGTGGACAGCACCCTCCCCCGGAACGGCAGAAGCACGGAGGAGCGGCGCTCCGCGCTCGTCCCCAGAGGCCACGGCTTTGGATGGGCGTCTGCTGCTGGCGTCTGCGTCTCTATCTGCCTGCGCTGATTACATCTACGGATGACTCCCTTCTCCTCCCCTGCGGGAGCGCGGCGCCCAGGTCGCGAACCTCTTTCTGGCAACCTTCCCCCATTCCAACAACTCCATTCGTTCAACCGGCCGGCGACACATTAACCTCCGCTTTGCCCGCCACCCCCACCCACCCCTGTTCCCAGAGTTTCCCCTGGCTCCCCCATCGAGCGGAGCCCCCTCCCGGGAACCGGCAGCCGGGCTGCCACTCACCGTGAGGGCCAGCAGCAGGTGCCCGCAGAGGGCTCCGCTCCGGGAGCGCGTGGGGCGGGCGGGCGCCATGGGAGCTCTCGGGGACAGGTCGCCGAGAGGCGCCCGGAGGCCGGGGTGGGAAGGCTCGGCGGGCCAAAGGCCGCGGCGGGAGTGCAGACTGGGCCGGCCGCGCAGGAGGAGTGGGAGGCACAGGAGGTGGCGCGCGGGGAGAGGCGCTTTTCCTCTGGCTCTCTCTGAAGCGCCTGCCTGCCACCCAAGGGGCTTTTCCTCTGGCCGAGGGTGGGGCTCCAGGCGCGCGCGCAAGACACCGATCGGCCCCTCCTTGGTGTTTTCTCAAGTCTCCATTTCTTTAAGAGCGCAACAGGTGGGAACTCCCTCTCGCCGCCACCCTTGTACCTGCGCTAGGTGTTTCTCAGCAGCGGACGCCACCTATATGCCCCATCTCGGGCACCCCCCCCCCGCCCCGGTGTCCGCCTGTAAGATTAGCAGCTGGCCCTGCCCAGCAGAAGCCCTGACTGTACAGAGACTCACTCCCCGGGCGCGGCGGGCCTAGGGAAGGCAGCGCGGGCCTGGGCGCGCTCCCGCGCCCCGCCTCCGCCCCGCGCGCTGCCCTTTCGGCCGGCGAGCGGCTCCGAGGTCGGACCTTCTGTCCCAGCTGCCTCAGGCCTACCCGGTGCAGAGGAACTCCGGGGACTCTTCGCTGGAGTAAATGTACTGCAGACATCCAAGGGCAGTTCACACAGGGTTTTCATCTGTGGCACGCCTTTCTTTGGGGGTCTTGTTTTTGCTTTTAGAAATGTCATGGCCGGGTCAGGATTCTCGTCTGAATAAGACCGTCAGAGCTATGAATGTTTCACGAGGTTAAAGTTCACCCCTTTTAACAGAATTCTACAAATTTTGACAAGTAATAGTTTCTTCCTGGGTTTTTCAGATTTTCCATTATGACTTATTTGACTTGTGAACTGTTCAGAAGTGTCTTTAAAAAATGCGTGAAGGTGTTTCTAGTTACCGTTACTGATTTCTATTGAACTTCGTTGTGGTTGTCAGACAACGGGATTTTGATTTTTTTTTTTTTTAATTCAAGACTTAAGAGTTTGTCTGCATGTTTCATGTGTATTTGAGAGCAAGATTCTAAATGAGAGAGTTCTGTGTGTACTCATTGCAACAGGCTTGTAAGTTGGGCTGTTCCAATATTCCGTATCACTAAATTTTATAGCATTTGGTTATGTAATTATCCAAGAGGTATATTAAGCCCTCCTTCCCCTCATGATTATGGACTTCTTAGATCTTCCTTGTCTGCCGTTCTTTAAACGTAGCCGGAAATTTTATCATCACACAGAAATTCTGAATTGTCCTCCTGGCGAACTGAACCTTTATTAAGTACTACACTTTACCCCAATATTTTTGCTTTCCCTAAAGTGTGTTTTGTCTCCTATTAAAATCACTGTCAGCTTTAAAAAAAAAAAAAATGGCCCAAGTCTGCCTTGGGCTAGGGTGGTAGTACCGGGGGTCGTGGGATCGAGCCCCATGTCGGGCTCTCTGCTGGCGGGAAGCCTGCTTCTCCCTCTCCCTCTCCCCCTGCTTGTGTTCCCTCTCTCGCTGTCTCTCTGTCAAATAAATAAATAATCTTAAAAAAAAAAAAAAGAAAAATGTCATGACCAATATAGCAGTGATGCGAGAAAATTACCATAAAGACATTAATTAATTAATTAATTAATTAATTAATTAAGGGATTCCAGGCTACAAAAAAATAACATCAAGGGTAAGTTACAACAGAAGACACATCGCTTCAGATCCTAGACATTAAATAAATGTGTGCTACCGCTGTTCTCCAAGACCCTCCCTTGTCCCAAATTAAAGCCATCTACTGACCTTCTAATACCTATCTCCTAAAATGAACTGGACGTTTACTGGAGATTTCTCTCTTCCTTTCCTACCACCAAAACCGGAGTTTGCAGTAAGAAAAGAAAAAGAATGGAATACAATTTATGTTTGGTTTGCAATGTATTGACCTAGGTGAATTACCTCCGACCTTCACCTGGAAGATTAAAATATGAAAGCAGTATCCTTGTGCTCTCCAGAGAACAATGACGGGGCGTTCTGACTCATCCTCCTGCGCCTCTTTTCAACTACTGGCTTAAACCGGGGAAGTCTGACCGCAAAGGAGAAACTTCTCTGTTCCATTTCATTTGGTTTGTCTCCTATGAGATGTTTGGAGAAACCTGTTTGAAAAGCCCAACCATGTCACTCACACCATTTCAGTTCCTAAAAACATGTACCATCCTATACCATTATACACAGAGCCAAGATTATTATAATAGTGACCATATAATTAAACTCAAAAGTAATGTCAAACACTACATGGCTTGCATTCTATGTATTAGTCCCATGCTCTATTTTATTAATGAATGACACATAATGAGCTGTTCTGTTATTTCTATAGCCACAAAATTTATCATTGCACCTTTGCTAGTAAAATAAGCCTGGGTCATCGGCATGAGACTATAGTTGACCTGCTTCTGTTTCCATGTTTTTTAACCCTCATGTTTTCCCAGCAATGATTTCATAAACACACCTCATCCTATTAATGACATCATGATCTCTATCATGAAGCTCTTCAGAGGACAGAGAAACAGGCTAGTTTCAGGTTCTAGAAATGTACTCAGGCTATCATCATAGTCCTTGACAATAGGACATTTCCAAACTCTTACCTACACTTCAACCCCTAATGCCTTAAGGGTAGCTTACATTTTTCCTCATTCCAAAAAAGGGTGGAAGAGCAATCTGAAAAGAATTCATCTTAAATATTTATTTTCATCTTTCACAGTGCCTAATTGAGGCTATTGAAAGGGTGACGGAGGAGGGTTTTTTGACGTTTTTTTAAACAAAGGAATGAAATATAAGGGACTTCCTCTAAACAAGTGGCCCGATTTATGTAATGTATTTAGACTAGACTTTATGGTCACTGAAATGGATTCCTCTATAAAACAATTTTGAAATTTCAGGTATAAATTTGACAAGACAATGAAATGGGTGTAGAAGAATTTTTTTGTAAGAATGTCTCTTGGGATGGGTGCCTGGGTGACTGAGTCGGTTAAGCATCTACCTTCAGCTCAGGTCATGATCTCAGGGTCCTGGGATCCAGCCCAGTGTCTTAGAACTCCCTGCTCAGCCCGGAGTCTGCTTCTCCATCTGCCCC